ATCAGGTATAAAATAGATATACTACAAGAATGCAGTATGAAGCACTGGGAATATACCCAATATTTTATAGTAACTTTATATGGAATATAAAGTATAAAAATATAGAATTACGATTTTGTATATCTGCAACTAATATAATTTTGCAAGTCACCTATATTTCAATAAAAAATTTAAAAAATGAAAAAATTTTTAAAAAGAAGTCAGGGCACCTTCCAACACTGACAGCTGAAAATTACACCCAGCCCAAGTTTGCTACTATGGCTTCCCCCATGTCTCAATGGGTAAAGAATCCACCTGCCATGCAGGAGACACAGGAGATGTGGGTTTGATCCCTGGATGGGGAAGATCCCCTGGAAAAGGAAATGGCAACTCACTCCAGTATTCTTGCCTGAAAAATCCCACAGACAGAGGAGCCTGTCGGGCTACAGTCCAAGGGGTCGCAGACATGATTCAGCGACTAAGCACAGGGCAAGTTTGCTAGTAATGACTCCTTGAGGAAGACAGGACAAAACTTAGCAGTGATTTTCTTATTTACTCATTTATCTATACTGCACTAATTTTCAAAATGAACTGAGGCAGAATAAAAAAGTGCAGAATCAATAAAACAATCATCAATGAGAAGAGCTAACAATTATTGAGCACAGACTACATACTAAGCATTCCTCTAAAAATTTTACAAACAATAATGTTTTTAACCTTCACAACAACCTTTGGAGATAGGCGCTACTTTTATCATCTCTATTTTAGAGCTAGGAAAAAAAGAGAAGTTAACACATGCCTCCACAGTAGGTTATGCGGCTAGTACATCATGCAACCAGGTTTTAAATCCAACAATCTAATTCCACTATACTACACTGCCTCCTCAAAATAAATGTAAAAGAAAGAGTTAAGTAGGATTTCAGGGGTGCTGACAACTAAAGCCATAGACGATAAAGTATAAAGTATCTAAAACTGAAAATAAACTTTAATTTGAGCTTCCTAGCAACCAATCTTCAAAGAAAAAGGTGAGGAATTAACCTCAATAGGGTAGCCAACCATCCTGGTTTGCAGGGGACTGAAGGGTCTCCCAGGAAGTGGGGACTTTTGATGCGAAAACAGATATGATTAGATGCCTTACTAAAGATGTTTTACAGTACTTAATTAGGCCTCAGACAATGTAAAACATACAAAATCTTGTTGGTGTTTTGAGATCACTGATTCCTTGAGCACCTTCTCCCACCCTCACTGAAAATACTAAATAATTTTATCATTAAAAATACTAAATAGCATGCTTGGGGAAGATGACAGGGCTGTAGAAAAATGAAGCCCTGTTAATTGCTGGTTTTCAACCATCACATCCATCAGTATCTTTAAGAATCTGGATAAGAGGGGCTTACAAATTCTGGGTTCAATTCTGCCCTGCCAACTTCAGCTGTGCTTTAATTTTCTTTCCCAAGGTCATACAGGATTGCTTTCTTTAAAAAAAAACAAAAAACAAAAACTTCCCTACATCACAGGCAGAGATGCAGACCAGTGATTCCTAGAAAGCTTGGTGGCAACCTGTTCAGAACTCCCAAGTGAAACCAAACCAAGACCATGTGGTAAACCCTTAATGCGAGTTGAGATGACAGCTTTGAAATCAATGATTGAGGTTATGAAGATGGGAACTGGGTCTTATGCATGTGTGTTCCCCTCACAGCACATCCTGCAAATAAATGTCCTAACTGCAATCTTAATCTTGGTATGTCAGAGCTAAAAGGGTTCGTATCTATCATTTGGTGCAAATGTTTACATTTACCGAGAGAGAAAAAAAGTAAATTGTCCAAGATGGGTCACAAAGCTAAGGTGCGACAAACCAATTAAATGGGAAGTGAACTATTTCTTAACTAAGTTAAACAAACCTCAACTAGGTTTCCTGAAAGAAAAAAAATCACTGAACGGACCAGCACTGTAACTCCAATCCAGGTGATCTGTCATGGGTCTCCACAGATGTCAGTTTTAAGTGCAAAAGGAAAGCCAATGTTTTAAGAAACTCATGCAAAATAAATGAGCAACTATTCAAGAAGAAAAGACAAAATACCTTTAGGGAGAGGAGTAGAGCTCTTACCATGACATGTTAACATTTTTTTAAAAACTGAAGAAATTTTAGACTAAATATTTTATAGGTATTTTCCAGCCAATTTAAGTTTCTATTTAGACTCAGGGCAATCTTTTTAGATATAACATGATCATCTTTAACCAAGAAACCTGAATGCCCAGTATGGGCTGGTCACTGTGCTAGGGCACCGAGCATGGAAAAGAAAGGTCAAGGAAAAGGCTGGCCAGCATCTTGATAATGTGTACACTCCTTCAAACAACACTGAGTGTTAAGACTGGTCAGAGAGATCCCAGGGAAAATCTCCAAATCTCAACCACAATTTTTCAACACCATGCACAATCAAATCCATGGATCAATCAAGTGATCAATCAATATTTCTAAAAACCTGTCACCTGCTCAATCCTTGCCTTTAAAAAAATGAATGATACAGGACTTCCCTGCTGGTCTAGCGGCTAAGACTCCATGCTCCTAATGCAGGGGTCTGGGTTCAATCCCCAGTCAGGGAACTAGATTCCACATGCCACAGTGCCACAACCAAAGATCCTACGTGTCTCGATGAAGACTGAGAAGCCCACGTGACACAACTAAGACCCAGCACAGCAAATAAATAAATAAATGTTAAAAACTTTTTTTTAATGAAACAAACCTGTCCTAGTATTTTCAAAAAAGAAATGAATGATTTAGTTTGAGAGAGAAGGTAGGGAGAAGGGCGGGGGGGGGGGGGGGGTTGCGGAGAGAGAAAAAGAGAATAAAAATGGAGGTGGTCCGGTTGGAGGAAAATATCAAGTGATGAGACATGTCATGTTGGTAGCGGGGTGGATGGGCATAGTCACTCTGGACCGGGGAAGAGAGAGATGAGGTTTCCTAGATGCAGAGGGACAAGAATTGACTCTCAGCAGACCTGAAATGTGAGCGTCTCAGCTGTGAGAAACAGTGAAGGCAATGGCACCAAGACAGAAAGGCCCACAGGGTGCCAACACGCGTGGCTGGAACGAAAGGTGCAGGTGGGAAGCCCCCACCTGCACCTTTTGTTCACGGGCGATGAAGGTGCAAAGGGCAGCTGGAGACAACCGTGGAAGAACTGCTACTCCCAGGGCAGAAGTCTGGCAAGAGGGCTACACAGCTGTCCAGGCCGCCACTGCAAACTCCGCTTTTCAAGCCTTGTTTTCATGAAAGGTATAATTCGATCCTTCAAATTTTTCATGGTTAGATCATGTACATCAGTTCTAAGGTTACATGATTTTTAAAATATCACTGTGCGTTCACAGTTCACCAGCGGAATCTTGGGGCTGCAAACAAGCAAAGACTAAGCGCAGATTCCCTGTCAGTCGTTTTCCAAGGAATCTGGGGCAAAACATACTTTCTTTTGCCTGGAAGGAAACAAAAATCCACAAAGTGCTGTGCCATGCTTTAACAGAAATGTTACACCAGCAAGGCAGAGCTCAAGGATTCCTAAGTCCAGTTTGCACACTTTCTATAACATATTTGAAGGAAAAGCCATTATTAGAAACAGAAGGATAAAAGGAATATTTGAAATGAACACACAGTTACTATTCAGAAAAGCCATTTTAACAAAGAAAAATCTTCCCCTTAAAAACTTTTCCTTAAAACCATGTTAGGAAACCTTCATTATTATGAACATATAGAGTATAAAAATCTTAGAAATAGTTTAGTATTAACCACTTGCAAGGATTTCTCTATTTCTTCTTCTTCTTTTTTTTTTTGCAGAAATCCTATCATAGATAATTGAGTAGATTCTACAGAATATGCAAACTTGCAAAGTAACATCCTAGTACTTGTGACAACACCCAGGCAGTCAAGAGAAAGATCTCTGTGTTTGATTAGTGTCTGTAAATTTGAGGAGGGGGTGTTGCATGTATCTGTGTGTGTGTCTGTGTTGGTGGTGGGAAGGAGGTGGACTTACTGGGTTTTTTTTTTAATGCCCAAATAAAACAATTACTTTAAAAAAAAAAAGAGCTTGTGACTTGGACATGCCCCGAGTTCAATTTGGCCAGGAATGGCAAAATCAGTCAACAGATCCCTAACCTCCTTTCTCTCCTGACTATACAATGCTTTTCAAAGGGGTTTAGTCCTACCATGAAAGACTCATGTTAGACATTGGAAGGGTCTAATAGAGAATGAGCACCAGGCCTTGAATAAACAAGGGAGATGGTGACCTTTTGCCCCTTCTGCTGAAAGCCCAGCACATCCTGTAGCAGAGGAACAGAAAAAAAGCTGGTGTGCACCCAGGTGCTGCAAAAATCCTTGCCTCTGGATTTCTCCCACACTTTGTTCCTTTAACAGTTTAAACCGAGACAAGGCTTAAAAAGTATTAGGGAGTGAGGGAAAAGTACAATTCCTGGAACCCACTGTCCCACTGTCCCTAATCCTTTGTTCCCCATATTGTTCCAAGCCAGCAGCATGCTGCACACGTCCTACAAGCAACAGGCACGACAACAGATTTAGTAGTGGCTGGACAGTTAGTCCCAATTAGGCCTATTTCCCAGCTGAATGTAAAGGGGTGGTGGGGTGAGGTACAAGCGGAAAAAAACTACAGAAATTTCAAGGACATTTCATCAGGGAAGCAAGCAATGCCAGGTAAATGCAAACTGAACAAGGGGTCAGGAGAATCTGCCAAAATTCGCTGTGTGACATTGGACCGGTATCTGAACCTCTCTGTTGTTATCCACAAAATGTAGGCAACCCCTTGGGGGCTCTAAAGATCTAATGGCAAATCATGGTCGACAGTACATAGTCTGGAAAGGTTTAGCATCACCCAGATCCGGAGGATTCCTCTGAGCTGTACTTGGAACCACAGATAACCCATCTGTCTGGTGAAGCATACATCTTTTATTCTCCAAGTCATTAGTGACTTTCTAATTCCCTGATGGCTAATTTTTTCAAGTTCATGAGTGATACTTACATATGTACATGTGGCGGCTGGAACCTGCTCTGGTTGATGTTGTAGTGCGTGAATGCCTGGGTGGGGTTGGAGCTGTACTCATCCACCGTGATGGTAACTTTGCCTTGAGAAGGAATCCCATGTGCCATCCTTCCTCTCTATAGGCATGAGCAATTCACAACTTTCCGGAGCGAAGGATGGAAGCAGGCATGGTGCGTTTCAGCCAACCTCTGAACCCAAGGATCTATTCATCAATACCGCTCTGCGTTTCTGGAAAAAACAAAACAAACAAAAAAATGAGGACAAAGAAAAAGAGGATGTTCTAAACAATGTCAGATGTGACACCTGGATGTGAAATTGGTTCAGGAAAAATCTTAATCTGTGTGGTCGCTTCGTGGACAAAATCTCTCCCAACTCTCTACCTAGCACGTACTTCAGAATGGACATGACACTCCAAATGACACGGCTGGCTGCTAGCAAATCATTTCAGTGGTGTTCAAACTAAGATTTCCTCTTTAATTATAATTATGGCACTTAACGTGAATTACGGAAGGGCACATCCACAGTTGCCATGGTGTCTAACTATAAATGGTTTGAGCTCGAAGTGGAGAGTCTTCCAAACCTTTCCTGCTAATTGGAATGTTTGGTTTGTACAAAGTTGGTGTCACAGAATAATTTGAAACCTCGGTGCTTAGCACAGTCATAAAACACAATGCCAAATGTAAATTTAAAATGCTCTGTTCATCACAGATACCTGTGTGTAACTATGATACACATATAATATATGCACACATCACATATAATTTTTCAGTGGTTCCAAAATACATAGGTACTCAAAGCATGGCGTACATATGAATTCCACTCCAGCCAAGAACTTTATGTTAAGTCAAATCCTTCTTGCTACACGTAACATAGTTTTTTAAAACCATCCAGTTATTCAGGGGAAAGTTGAACACATCCAGGCTTGGATCACCATTTCGGATGCATTCATTACGAGCAGTAAAGGAGGGTGACCATTGAATCTACTGCTTCACGCCTGCTTGAAAGTGAAAGTCGCTCAGTCATGTCTGACTCTTTGTGACCCCATGGACTATACAGTCCATGGAATTCTCCAGGCCAGAATACTGGAGTGGGTAGCCTTTCCCTTCTCCAGGGGATCTTCCCAACCCAGGGATCAAACCCAGGTCTCCTGAACTGCAGGCAGATTCTTTACCAGCTGATCCACAAGGGAAGTCCTCACTCCTGCTTGGTGCTGCAATATTCTCAGTAGCTGGTTTCATCCTTCAAAATTTTTTTCAGCTCATTTTGATTATTTGCATAAAAGACACTATATTATTTGTTGTGCTGGGTTCAGAAATGAGGATGTTTGTTTTTATAGCAGGTGCGCGAAGACTGAGCAGAGCCCATCCCTGCTTCTACGCTGTTGCAATTGATCAAGGAAGTTTTAAAGAAGGGGACAGCACACTCCTTGGATACCCTTGGGTTAACCCACCCTCTTTCATTTTAAGCGCTCTGCATTACAATACTTTCACCATGTGCACCATTAAGTTCTGGGAATCTCAGATGCTATCTCAAATAAAAATATTTAGAATAATAAGATTAGATTTAAATTTGGCATGAAACACCTTAAATATCAAGCAAAAGGCAGATGGCTTGCCATAGGCCATTTATTTTATTATTTTACAACCCAGGGCTTGTGTAGTCCTCCATATGCTAGCTGAGCTAAGAAATTCCACAGCCTTCTACTCAAATCATTGCCTTCTTCATATTACCAAAGCAAGCTAAATAATACCCACCTTGCCTGCGTTCCTAACACATAATGGCGCTGCCAAGACATGAATCCCTCCTGCTCTGGCATTTTAAACAAAGTGTCATTTTGGGTTCTCTTTCTTCTTCCTGACTTCATGGGAGGTATGAGTCCTCTAAGCACCGCTGACAGACAACCAGGCCAGTAGGATTAACAAAATTAAAATCTTTGCCTGCTTCTCTGATGTAAGAGATCTATAAGAACTGCTTACAAATCATAATGTGGCAGTTTTCATACCAAGTTTGCAGCTGTTTCCTTAATTTCCCCCACAATTATATTTTACTGTTATTTTGCATAACAGTAAAACACAACACCTGCTTCAAATTGCAGTCCTGTTCTAAATACTGTAATTCTCTTTTGAGACACAAAGTACCGAGACACGAATGAAGTGCAAAACTGCATAATTGCGACATGCTGAAAAGTAAATACAAATGAAAACATCTTCCTGTTATAGAAATGACTGTCATTAAAAAGAATGTTAGCCATCAAAGCACAGAGGGGGGAAAAATACACATTTTCAGACTGGAGAACTTAGCGTTTGCATAAATTAGAGAGTGGTATAAAAATTACACGGCAATTCTTAATGTTCCTGCCATCAATATCTATTGTGTGAAATACAGAACATTAAGAAGCAAAAGAAATAAAATTCATGTCTAGACCACTGTGACCTCTCTGTAACAATCTCTACATCCAGAGCCAGAAACAGTTTAAATGTTCCTGGAGTAAACTCACTAATTAAACTCAGCAAAATTGCCTAGAAATGAAAGATACATACCTATTATGTAAATATCTAGGTAAGACCTACAGTAGTTAGCATTAGACCCTCTCATTTGAAGTCCAGAAAAGAAAGAACTTATAAGGTGATCAATTTGCACTCTTTTATGGTCTACTATATCCTATAGTCAACATGGGGTTGCCTTTTCTACCAAGTGAGATCTGTGCCTCTTTGCACCTTTGCTCCAGTAAGACAAATAGAACATCTTTTCATCAGCAAGCACAGACCCCTGTAACTCAAAAGGGTAAATGGGTGGCTGGCACCTCATTTGAATTCATCTTTACCATGTTCTCTTTCAAATGTTTTATCGAAACAGTACACCTGCGGCGTCTATCTTCTTTAATCTGGAGTCCTTTGAAGAAAATGTCAGACTGAGGCAGAGAGCTTCAAAACTTTCACAGGAACCTTTACAGACAAGTCAAGAAAAAGCTTATTTTTTAAAAAATGCTATGTTCACCCCCATTCACATCACAGGATAATCATATCTCAAGAATATGAAACACCAACACATGGAAAAGGCTTTTTTTTTTTGGGTAAATTCCCTCCTCTAATCTGAGAAACCTGGAAAAAGCTTGAAACAAGACAGAATGATACAACACCTCAAAGTACTAAGAACCTGCATCCTCTTGCTTGACACAGGCAGTAAAACCCTCCAAATGATCAGAGTTTGGAACACCTCATCCTGATCACACATATTATTTTTTACATACAATATTTAGAGAGCGGTGCTCTTTTTTTTTAATTTCCATTTTTATACTTCAATACATTTGCTTTACAAAACAAAGGAACCCAGTACTACATGCCAGCAATCCTAAAGAAAAATCTAAAAGGGACTGACGCTGCCAAACATTCATGCTGGTGCTACTTTGATTTTCTCTTTAAAAAAAAGAAATCATGTGAGCACATTTTGCATTTCCTAGACAGCAATCACTTCTCCTGTGCCTTAAGCTGTGCAACTTGCAATATTCTTTTTTTTAGGAATCTAGTGGGAAATCCTTTTAAAGTCTGCTGGCAATGAAAGGATTAAAAACTGAGGAATTAAATAACTGTCTCCACCTCCTAGACACCAGAAGTCCAATTTACCAAAAGTTTCAAAGCAACAACTCCTGACCTCTCTACCCGAACACCGCACGGCACAGCCTATGAGAAAGGAGCCCGTGATTTCCTCGTTTAAACAGGATGCTCATTTTATTCACTAGCCCCTAAGAAGATCGTCCGACCAACCTCCTGGCCGGACTTTGGAACTCGCCGGCTCCAACTACGCCAAATTTCGCTCTCTCCTCCCTCTGCCGCACGGATCGAGTGCTTTCTCAACTCACGCCCTTACTCTTTTATGCCCATCTCCAGTTACTCATCCCTGTATCCCGGAGCGATGCCCAGAAGCCTCCGGGGCGGTTTCTCCGCCAGGGTTTTTAGACGGATGCACAAAGTCCCACGTGCCCTCTGTCCACAGAGCGCCCTCCCTCCCAGCGCACTTACACCTGAACTTGTCTCCAGCACTTCGGACACCCGGTTGGCGCATTCTTTCGGAGAGAAAGGGCAGGACTTTTCTCCCGCGCCTCTGGCAACGCGTGGAGTCTATATATGGTGGGGCGGGGGGTGCGGAATTCTCTACTTTGGATTGGTGTGTTTGTTTTAAATCTACGGTGGGCAGTTGGGGGTGGGGGGGTCAGCAACCACACACACACACACACACACACACACACACACACACACACACACACACACACTCTCATTCACTCACTCGCGCGCGCGCCCTGCGCTCCCGGCTCACGGCCGGCTTGTCCGAGCTATAGCTCCCCCTTCTTTCCTGGAGCACCAGCTCGCCTTCCTCGCTCAGTTCCTCGTTGCCACCGCCGTCGTCTCCGCCGCGGCTGGCACTGTTGGCGCTGGCGCTCGCGGCCCCAGGCTCCGCTGGGCGCTTGTCCTTTCTCTACCGCTTCCCCAGCCCCGAATTGATTGATGACCACCGGCGGCCAATGGCTCTGACACCGCGCCATCCTCGCCAGAGCATCACAGCCCCACGCCCCCGACGTCAGCCTCTAGGGCGCGTTGGCATCCCCGAGCCCCGAGAGCCGAACCCGCACCCGGGGCCGCCGGCGCCACCCTGCTCTCTGCCCCGGAGCTGCCGGGCTGCATCCTTGGAGCGGCAGAGAAAGAAAGGAGGGATCCAGCGAGTGTTCGAAGGGGGTGTTGAGGCCACGGATTTCCACCCCCCTCTTTGGAAATCTTTTCTTTCACTGAAAGTTTTGTTTTGTTTTTTTCCCCACCCTGACCTGTTTGTGCGTTTACAGCATCTCAATTACACATTTTTCAAGACCTGCATTTGCACTTAATTGGGGGTGTCCTGGGGAGGGGTGTGGTATAAATCCGCCCACTGGGGCATCCTTAATTTCTTTCCTTGCTGGTGCATTCTAATAGCCTCCCCAAACGCCAGGAAAAAATGCCCCCTTCACCTCCTAGGCCGCAAAACCTCGGAATTCAAAGGTTTTGCAAAGACAATCCTGTTTCATGTAAATAGCAAAGAAACTCCTGCCTCCCGAGCGAAGAAATGGAGCTGCAACGGTTACTTTTTCTGGCCGTTCGTTCCCCGCCGCCTAGCCCGGGTCGCTGGCCCGCTCTGCAGGCTGCGATCGCGGAGACCGGAGGCGGCGGCGGAGATCCAGGTTGGAGCGCGGGGAGAGGGTGAGAAACGGCCCCGCGCGAGAGCGGCGCGCGCGCAGGCGGCCCGGGGGCGGCCGCGGAGCGCAGACCCAGCACAAAGCTGCGCGGCGCCTTCCCGGCCGCGGCACCTCGCTCCGGCCGCCGCGGGCGCCCAGGGCTCGGGCCAACACAATGCACCCGGGCCTAGGCCGGGGCGGCTCGAACACAGAACCCCCGGACTTTCTAGTAAACAGCTCGCCGTGCCCTCTTCCCCACCCCCATCCCCGCCGCCCGGCTTTTGCCGCTGCCCCTCGCCTACACCCCCTCCTTCGCTGCTAAAAGAGCCCGGCGGAGGAGGGAGCGGCGAGGTGGAGACCCCGGGAGGTCGGGGGCCGAGGACGGGGGCGGGGGGAAGCGAGAAGGGCAGAGGGGCGAGATGGGGAGTGGGAAGGAGACAGCTCCTAAAAAAGAATTCGCTTTCGCTCCGGGGGTTGAAAAAAGCCCTCCTCGGGTTCCGAATTGCCCGGAAAGCGCCGACTCGAGCGACTGTCAGGGGCACCGGGGCAGCCGCGGTCCGCAGCCTCCAAGCCCCTCGCACGCGCCTCTGACAAGGCACCTCTCACCCGGGCTCCGCTTTGTGTGTGCATTTTTTTCCCTTCCTCTCGCGCGCGGCACCGGGCGCCCGGCCGCCTCCTCCCCCTCCCCCGCCCTCCGCCTCCCTTCCCGGGGCGGATTACCTTTCCCGGGCTGCGCTCCGGGTCCCGGGGATGCCTTCAGCGCCCGACGAGCAGGCGATCCATCGCGGAGCAGCCGGAGCCGGCGGGGGGCGCGCGGGGGCGGCGAGGGGCGCGGGCGGGCCAGAACCTTCGACCCCGAAGGTCCCGCCGCGGGCTGGGGCGGGGGGCCGGGGGGCGCGGCGCGAGAGAGAGGCGGGGGGAGGGGGGAGAAAGGACCCGAGCAGCCTCGATCTGGGCAGAGAGCGAGCGTGGGGGCGAGGAGAGGGAGCGAGGGCGCGGCGAGCCGGAGGGAGCGAGAGCGGTGCAGTGACAGGGACTGCCACTGGGGTCAAAGGAGCAGAGCTCCAGGAAGCAGGGCGGCCGAGGCGCCGCTCCGTGCGCGCTCCCCGGCGGGACCCCGCGCCCCCGCGCGCCCCTGCTGCGGCCCCGGCCCGCTGGAGCCCCCACTGGTGCCCCGAGGCCCCGGGGTTGCGAGAGGAGGCGGGAGCTAAGGGCGAGGCCGGTAGCCTGCTGGTGCTCCCGGGTCAAGCAGGCGGCAGGAAGCTGAGCTGCAAGTTCATCATCATGAGTGTGATCAGCGTAAAAATGATAGGGGACTGAGGAGGGGGGCTACGGAGCCCCAGGAAAATAAAGGGAGTTTTCCCTCCAAATGGGCGTCTTCTGCAAAGGGAACACCCAGGCCCCAGGCCCCCCCACCCACCGACCTGCCAGGCGCGGTCTGGAGTCCTGGCACAGCTCCAAGGCGCTGAGCTTGCCTGGGGGCAATGAGAGCGGCTCGGGCACTGCGCTGAAACCGGGGAGGGCGACCCTGGGTCCCCTACCGTCTCAGAGCTTAGACTTTAATGGAGTAAAGCTGTGCACCTTCTCACACACACACACACACACACACACATGCACACACACCTCTTTCTTTCTGCAACGTTGTTCCTGAGAAAGAAAAGGCCAACCAGCTGACAATTTCTTTCACCTCCAGGTTCAATTTAGGGAGGTGAGGAGAGGCAAAGAGTCTAAGTGTTAGCATTTTGGTCTTTGGGGCACATTTCCCCCGAAAGATAAGCAATTCAAAAACATTGTAAAAATCAGTTTGCCCCCTTTTTCCGCTGCTACTTTGGATTATGGAAGAAAAGATTTTCAGAATTGTATGCAATCAACATAAGAAAAGGAAAAGTCGCTGAGATGCTGGAAGACAGAGGACAAGGAAGAGAAAGAAGGCTTTTAGAAAACTTGGTTGGTGGTGTTGACTGTGAAAGACAAGGTGACCCTGTGATGTTATGCCATTGTCAGACTTGAAGGATTTGGATGCCAACCAGCTCTAATTCCTTTCCAGGAGTCAGACTCAAAAATCTAGGCATTCTCCAAAGGGAAATCCAGTGGATGTGTGTGAGAGAGTGAAGTGTGCTAGGTACTATGTGACAACGGACTAGACATCCTGGCTGAAATTATATCCCCTAAAAATAAAAAGGAGCCATTGCAACCTGGTCTGTGGCCTCTGTGTTGAGACTAATTGGTTTCCAGGGTCAGGGGGAAGGGAGAGAGGCTGGTAGGAGCCCCTATAAAAAAGATCAAACGGAATTCACTTGAAAATATGTCCCTTTTACAATGGACTTTCCTGGCACTTGAAGTAAGCTATGTCTTATGCCCGAGCTGAAATGAAGGGGAGATGGTCTTGCTAATGTATTTATTTTATTGTACAGTATGTCCAGAGTGTCCGTCCTTGTCAAATGTGCTGGGAACCATAGGACAGTCACTTTCCTTGCCCAGCATAAACCACAGCAAGGAGCACTGGTGTGAAAGAACATCAAAGATGGGCGGGGGGATGGACCTTTTATATTTTGTTTTTGATTTCCAGTCCAGCAGCAAACATTGACTGGAGTCATGTTTTTGAAGAAATGCTTGGTTTTCTTTTCTTTATTCTGTGAGTTAGCAGTACACTCCTTATCTAAATGATTGAAATTTTTCAACTGATTTTGACTGATATAAATCTGCACCAGCCAAATCATTTCTGTGGTTTCCTTCCTTTAAAAAAAAAAAAACTTGATAGTTAATCAAAACAACAAAACTAGTTTCTACATGATCCCGGATCTAAATAATAATGAATGTACACACAAAATAATAATAACACACAAAAATAAATAATAACCTGTTCTACTTAAAAAAAAAACTTGATAATCAAAACAACAAAACTAGTTTGTACATGATCCTGGATCTAAATAATAATAAATGTACACACAAAAAAAATAAATAACAACCTGTTCTACTTTAGCGGCACATTTTATAGGACACTTAATGATATTAAAAAAAATCAAGGCAGTGATCTTTACAAAGTTGATGAAGAATTACTTATTATTTAATTGAGTGGGGAGAAATTGAGGCAAATAGCTTAAAATTGTAACATGTAGTATAGGAAGAAGTTCACCTTTCTATGTCTCTGCTAATCAGTTACTTAATGATAGTGACCAACCTATATTAGGATTATGAATTTTTATTTCCATTTGTCTACCAAAATAAAAAGCTGGGAAAGTATACATGAATTTAAACAATAAATTAAGAGCAAAAGAAACTCACTTTTCAAATAATTCTCATCCCATGTATTTGAACATACTGCATTTTGTGAAATCATATTCTCTACCAATATAGCTACCTACACTAAAAGCTTGTTTTAAAATGATTGGATGCGAACTATGGCTGTCCCTTGACATCAGCTTTGAAACATCAAGCCTCATTATACCAAATTTTAAATGTTATATTCTGGGAGTTGTGGGTTTGGTTTTGTTTTGTTTTAAGGTAAGTAAGCCTATAAGATCCATTTTTGTTGTTGCTGTTAAATTCAATTTTTATTGCTTCTGATGGAAAACAAAAGAAGGATGAAAGTCAAATGCCAAGTTTATGCTTGCCTCTATGCAAATATTACAAATTTTTTCCTTTAATGGAATATAAATCTGGACTCTTTCTCCAGTGATTTCATTGAAGGAACTGGCAAATACACTTCCCAATAGCCTGCCACAGTGTCTTTTAAAATATCATTTCAGAATGCAGTCAGGGAAGAAAATGAGAGGTAGAAGCGTGGGAGAACCTTAGATGGAAGCCTGGAAAGTGAATACTACTTCCTTTGAAATCTCAGTACTTTATTTGGAGTTGGCTTTCATTCTCCGTATAAGAACAGCTTTCCAATACTTCAGGGATACTTGCATATAACTTAAAACTTAATTCCACCCTGTGGCTCCTCTTCAGAAAGAAATGAACTATTTTACCTCTTTTTTTCTTTAAGTTGGTTGCATTTTAATCATTTTCCAACAAAACTTAAGATATATATGATCAGAAATCAGTGACTGTTAATAGAACTATTATGACACAATTAGGAAATTGAGCCAACTAACACCTTTACCTTGTTCTAAATTCCTACAGTTTTTATTTTTTTAAAACTTGTTTTAAATGTTTTCATTGTAACCCCCTCAAACTGAAGAATGATGCACACTATTGCTTTCTGGTTTTCATTCTTTTGTGCTGTGCACATAGTATTAATAGAACTTGGAAATATTTGTTAAACAACCTTATGAGTCAATAAATGAGAAAATGAATAAGATAATTCATGAGTAATTGAAGCAACTACACAATGAATGAAAATCCATATCATATGTGTAGGAATGGAAGTGACATCCTAAGACCAGTGTAGAGGATAAGAGCTAAGGATTTCCTATGAAGTTCAGAGAGTACAATTAAAGGGGTTGTTAACATCTTCAGAAACATGAAATAGTACTTAAGACTCTCTCATAAGTTGATTTTCTCATGGAGAAGCTGATGATTTTTATGTATCTCATCCATTTAAAGGCAGCCTTCTTTTTAAATATAGTAGGATGTACAAATAAAGAATTTCTATCTTAAAATTTACATATTTAATGTACCAAGATACAGTCTCAAAATAAAGCTATGTGCTTAACCTGATTCTTTGATAAGATCCTTATTGAAGGAGGCAAAATAAATATATAAATAATGGTTTTTGTCCTTTTTATTTAAAATCTCCTTTTGGTTAACCAATAAAAATGTGTGTGACTAAGATTCAAGAAACACTAGAACTGGTGAAATTTTGTATAATAAAATAAATTTTATAGGCATTATCTTAGAAAGACTGAATCTGAAACCACCTTTGCCAGCAGCTTAAGTAATAAACATGGAGGAAGTGAAAAATCTTAAAATTTTGCCAAGCACTCACTATTTCTTACCATATTTACTAGTTAATGCTTCTCATGTATCAACAAATCAAATGAATATTATTTATGTGATAATAATTTTAGTAATCAATTAAAAAAAAATCTGAGCAAGATACTAAGCATATGCTGGTATGTTTTCCATCCTAACAAACTTGCATGATCTCTGTTGTCAGTGTTTGTTGGGTCCTTCCTATATCATGGTCCCAATTCTGGAAAAGTGGGGTGGAATTTAGTGGTACTTGAGATAGGCTTGTCATGGTGGAAGATGAGCAATCTCATTGAAGTAAAAGCCAAAGTAATCTCTTTTGAAAGATGGGCAGGGTAGAAGACCCATAATAACCTGATTAAAGAAAATGTATGTGGGGGTTTTCAAGTTTAATAATTCAATTTGACAAGCTAGTATAAGATATATCAATATTTTGAGTAAGCAACCTATAATGTAATTTTCCTTCTCAGCAAAAATAAATGAATAAATACATTTTTTAAAAATTGACTTTGAGAGACCAGCAGACTCTAAGCTCCATTTCTCTCAGTATTATTAATGTTATGGTTCGATTATTTATTAAATATTTTATGGGCTGCGCTATGTGACAGGCAGAGTACTCAAAACCAGGCTGATGATCTTATGATGCAAACAAGCAAAAGTTTTCTACCATACTATGAAGTATGTAATCTAATGAGCCTGATGAGAGACTGGCTTTAAATAATCACACAAGTAAAAGTTGTATCTAAGAAAAGGAGAGGCAACGGGTACAAAGAAAACTTAAAGTAGGGGTACTCTTCCTCCTCCAAGTGAGGAAAGAAATACAAGGATGTCAGAAAAGAGAAGCAGTCTGGCAGGTTGCTGAGTTCAAAAGGGATCTGTACACAGCTCTATAGGCAGAAGTCTGAACCAAAGGGCCAAGTTAAGAACATTTGAAGGTCACAGCTAAGGCCCTGTTGAAGATGTTTGACTTTATTCTGAGGGCTCCTGGAAGCTGTTTAAGGATCTTAAGTAGAAAGGCTAACATGATTTGATTTATGTTTTGCAAAGGCCACTCTTGCCCCAGCGTGGAGAATGGATTTTAGGGGGCTAGGGTCAATTTTGGGAGGTCATTTGCAAGCTCTAACAGTTATTAGGTTGAAGGTGATGGTAACCTCCAGCAAAAGTTTGGAGGAGGTAAGGCGTGAAGAGATGTGAATAGATTTAAGAGATTTGAATACATTTCATGTAATAAAAACAAAGTTTTGTTGTTGTTTGTTGTTGTTTAGTCTCTAAGTCCTGTCTGACTCTTTTGCAACTCTCTGGACTGTAGCCGTCCAGACTCCTCTGTCCATGAGATTTTTCAGTGGGTTGGGTTCAATGGAATGGGTTGCCGTTTCCTTCTCTCGGGGATCTTCCTGACTCAGGGA